TGTGTGCATGCGCACATATTCTTTTTATTAAAAAAAGAATTATTTAATTAAATTAATTAATTTATTTTTATATATTTATTTTAATTTGATTAGAGAGGGACAAAGTGAAAGAGAGAGAGAGGGAAAGTGAGAAATCAGGCTACCAGTTCTGAGGCTCAAACTACGGTCAGCCATGTGGGAGTCCAGAGCCCTGAACGACCACGTCACCTGCTGGCTCCCAAAGTACACATATTTTTAACTTTGTATTTTGAAATATTTATTTTTAAAAGTTGCAAAGAAACGTACTATGTGGTCTGATGCACTCTCCATCCCAATAGCACCGCTATAGGACAGGAATAAAAGCAAGTAACTGGCAGCGGTACAGCCCACGGAGCTCCAGATACATGCGTCGATTATGCGTCCGTGCTGCTCTCTGAAGCTCAGGAGGTGCAGCTGTACCTCCTACACACCAAGATGTCTGACTGTACCGTCAGGACCAAGTGTGCCGTCCAAGCTTCATATCCAAGTGCCCCCCAATGCTACATCCATCTCCCCTGCCATCACTGATCTGTTTGCCCTCTGCCAGCTCCAAAATGTAATTTCAAGTGTTACATGTAAGAATGGCATAGTATGTAACTTTTTGAGATTGGGTTCCCCCCCTTTTTAAAATGTGTAATAGCAGAGTTTAATTGAGCCACCACAATTTGAATGAAAAAGCCCCCAACATGGCTTCTAAGGAACACCATACAGCCACGTGGTGGGGTAACGTGCAAGAAAAGGAAAGTGACATACAAAAAACAGAAGGGGAAAAAAAAAACAGAAGGGGGTGAGAGAAATAGTTGGACTGGTTACAGCTTGATGTTTTCCTGAACACAGTTTAAAGAGTGATTGGCTGAAGTGCAGCTGCTGTGATTGGCTGTAACTTAGCCACTTGCTAAGGAAGAAGACTCCCAAGTGAGGCAGGCGGTTTGACTACAGGAACTCAAGCAGGAGTATGGAGGCCTTCTCAGGCAAATACAGTTTAACAAGTCCCATTTGGGTCAGCCTCTCAATTTTGAGAGATAGACTTAAGGCACTGACACCACTCTCTGCCAGCATCATAAATGATGCATTTGATCTCTGCACACAATTCCCAAGTTTCTTCTGGTCTCAGCAAGGAATCCACAAGTCTCAGCATCACATCCATTGAATGCTCCGCCCCCCCTCTTTTTTTAACGTTTTTGTTTGTTTGTTTGTTTTTCCAATATGGCTGAAGCAAGATCACTCAATGTCAATGGATGGCTGCCGACAAAACATTTAAGACTTGACAGGACACACCACACAGGGGAACTAATAGGAGGACTGTCAAGTGAAGACTGGCTTATTTCCAATGAACACAATTGTCTGGAGGTGATCTAGGCTGTTTGGTGTACCAACGGCGTGTCCCTCATGGCTGACTGGTATTCCACAGTCTATGAATAGATCTATGAATAGCTCACGCTCTGAAGTGTTTGCCACAGGAGAACATCAGGGTAGTTCCTAGCTCTCAGCTTATTACAAACAAAGCTGCTCTGAACATGCGTGTAACTAGGAGTTTGTGGATAATGCAGGTTTTCATTTTGCTGAGATAAATGGTAAAGAATGCAATTGCTGGGTCATATGGTAAGTCCATTTTTAGTTTTAAAAGGAACTGTAAAACTGTTTTCCAGAAAGGCTGCACTTTACATTCCTACTAGCAACATACGAATGATCCAGTTTCTCCGAATCACTGCCAGCATGCAGTATTATCTTTACTTTTTATTTTAACCCTTCAGATATATGTGTAGCAATATCACATTGAGCAATATCACATTGTAGTTTTATTTTTAAGGATTATTTTATTTATTATTATTTTTATTAGTTTTTAATTTGCCCAGAGAGAGAAAGACAGAGGGAGGGAAAGTAAGAAAGCTACCAGGTCCGGGACACAAACCATGGTCGACATGTGGGAATCCAGCACCTTAACCACTATGCCACCTGCCGGCCCTCTCACTGTGGTTTTAATTTGCATGTTCCTAAAGGCTAATGGTGTTGAATATCCTTTCATGTGCTAATTTACCATCTGTACCTCCTCTGCAGTGAAGTGTCTCTTTCTGTAATCTGTCCAAATTCCAATCAGGCGGTTTGAATTTTTACTAGGTTTGAATTTTTACTACTAAGATTTGAGTGTTCTTTATATATTCCAGATACTGATCCTTTGTCAGTTACGTAGATTACAAAAATTTTCTCTCAGTTTGTAGCATATCTTTTCTTTCTTTCTTTCTTTCTTTCTTTCTTTCTTTCTTTCTTTCTTTCTTTCTTTCTTTCTTTCTTTCTTTCTTTCTTTTTTTCTTTCTAAGTGACATACAAAAAACAGAAGGGGAAAAAAAAAACAGAAGGGGGTGAGAGAAATAGTTGGACTGGTTACAGCTTGATGTTTTCCTGAACACAGTTTAAAGAGTGATTGGCTGAAGTGCAGCTGCTGTGATTGGCTGTAACTTAGCCACTTGCTAAGGAAGAAGACTCCCAAGTGAGGCAGGCGGTTTGACTACAGGAACTCAAGCAGGAGTATGGAGGCCTTCTCAGGCAAATACAGTTTAACAAGTCCCATTTGGGTCAGCCTCTCAATTTTGAGAGATAGACTTAAGGCACTGACACCACTCTCTGCCAGCATCATAAATGATGCATTTGATCTCTGCACACAATTCCCAAGTTTCTTCTGGTCTCAGCAAGGAATCCACAAGTCTCAGCATCACATCCATTGAATGCTCCGCCCCCCCTCTTTTTTTAACGTTTTTGTTTGTTTGTTTGTTTTTCCAATATGGCTGAAGCAAGATCACTCAATGTCAATGGATGGCTGCCGACAAAACATTTAAGACTTGACAGGACACACCACACAGGGGAACTAATAGGAGGACTGTCAAGTGAAGACTGGCTTATTTCCAATGAACACAATTGTCTGGAGGTGATCTAGGCTGTTTGGTGTACCAACGGCGTGTCCCTCATGGCTGACTGGTATTCCACAGTCTATGAATAGATCTATGAATAGCTCACGCTCTGAAGTGTTTGCCACAGGAGAACATCAGGGTAGTTCCTAGCTCTCAGCTTATTACAAACAAAGCTGCTCTGAACATGCGTGTAACTAGGAGTTTGTGGATAATGCAGGTTTTCATTTTGCTGAGATAAATGGTAAAGAATGCAATTGCTGGGTCATATGGTAAGTCCATTTTTAGTTTTAAAAGGAACTGTAAAACTGTTTTCCAGAAAGGCTGCACTTTACATTCCTACTAGCAACATACGAATGATCCAGTTTCTCCGAATCACTGCCAGCATGCAGTATTATCTTTACTTTTTATTTTAACCCTTCAGATATATGTGTAGCAATATCACATTGAGCAATATCACATTGTAGTTTTATTTTTAAGGATTATTTTATTTATTATTATTTTTATTAGTTTTTAATTTGCCCAGAGAGAGAAAGACAGAGGGAGGGAAAGTAAGAAAGCTACCAGGTCCGGGACACAAACCATGGTCGACATGTGGGAATCCAGCACCTTAACCACTATGCCACCTGCCGGCCCTCTCACTGTGGTTTTAATTTGCATGTTCCTAAAGGCTAATGGTGTTGAATATCCTTTCATGTGCTAATTTACCATCTGTACCTCCTCTGCAGTGAAGTGTCTCTTTCTGTAATCTGTCCAAATTCCAATCAGGCGGTTTGAATTTTTACTAGGTTTGAATTTTTACTACTAAGATTTGAGTGTTCTTTATATATTCCAGATACTGATCCTTTGTCAGTTACGTAGATTACAAAAATTTTCTCTCAGTTTGTAGCATATCTTTTCTTTCTTTCTTTCTTTCTTTCTTTCTTTCTTTCTTTCTTTCTTTCTTTCTTTCTTTCTCTTTTCTTTTCTTTTCTTTTCTTTTTTTTTGCCGTAGGGTATGTATGCTCACTGGAGAGAGGAGAGAGAGCGAGGGAAAGTGAGAAAGCATCCTCTAGGGGTGATTTGTCACACTGCAAGCCCTTCTCCTCCATTATCTTTTTTGGGATATTGGGCACACATGCACACATGCCTGGTGTGATTTTTAAGCTACTGGGTCTGGGACTCAAACCATGGTCTGCCATGTGGGAGTCCAGTGCCCTAACCCTCACCCCACCTAGTGGCCCCTGTTTTCATCTTCTTCACAGGCTTTTTAAAAAATGAGATCTAATTTATCAGTTTTTCCTTTTATGGATTATGCATTTGGTGTCATGTCTAAGA